CTGCTCCTTGCCTCCCAGCCCAAGAAAAAATAGAGGAAGGCGGCAGTCCAGCAGTCCAGCAGTCCAGCCGCCGGCGGGCCTCGTCGGGAAGGAGCACCGAGTAGACCGACAGACGCACAACCACACAAAACCACAGGACCTGCTTCCAAACTCCTCTTGATGTTACAGCCTGCATGTACAGAATAAAAGGTTTATTCCTGCTGAAAAAAAGAAGAAAGAGAACACAAGGCTCCACGGCCGAAACGTTGTGTTCTCTTTCTTCTTTTTTTCAGCAGGAATAAACCTCTTACTTGTTCCTTTGCAGCCTACGCATGCTGACGCAGCTGCCCACCTGTACAGAATAAAGTCTGAGATAACACACGGAAAAGCTTTTCCTTTACACCAAGCAGGGCGACTGCTGGTGAAAGCAGTTTACTGCCCAGAAACCCTCCGATCAGCGCAGGAGGGCTGCGTGACTACTGTCCCCTTGTGGGAGCACGAGGTACTGACCTTCCGGCGCTACAGAAAAAAACACGTCTTCAAATACAACTTGCAGGTGCAACGTAATGCAAGTTTGGAAGAATAAGACTTAAATCTATGTCTTAATCTATGAAAACGGTAGGTTAAAAATGTCATCACACCATCTTCTGAGCACCACCAACTCTTGAAAAAAAATGAAACACACACCTTTATCTTAAAACTCTTCTTTTAATGAGCAGATTTACAATCTAGCACCAAAACAGTTTGCATTTAAGCCTTGAGTCAGGGGGTTTCCAAGCTATGTCAAATTACAGGAAAAGTCATTTTTATAAGGGTCTGCTAGACCCGGACAGCACCGGGCCCGTCCAAGATATCTTTAGACAAGGCTCAAGGTAGCAAAAGGGTCCAGTTCATCAGATAACACCAGATTTAGACGTTACACATTTAGAAACATGCCTGCATCCTTAGTAAACCACAAAGACAGAACTCAAACATTAGCAGCACTTTATTAAGATGGATTTTAAGACTCGATGATGGAGGTTAAGGAGAAGAGAGCCAATCTGGTGCAAGCCCGGGTTTTCCTGACAGTTCTGCAGGAGTACTGGGAAGCACCGCACTGCAGGACAGAAGGAGTTCCCAGGAAAAAGCATGACTGCCCCATCCAGCGCAATGCGTGCCAGTCATTCCACACAACAATGCCCCCGAATAACTTGGAGACATGTTGGATTTTGTTGTTTTTTTTCCTGTACCCAAGTAAGGGAAAAGACCTGACCAAAAGGAGCATTATAACCCAACAGAGTTGCGTCAAGAAGCAGCTGTCAGAGCGGTTTGAACACTTATCTAGACTTCCTGGAGAGCTCCACCTCGTCCCCGGCACGCGCCAGCGAGAACGGCGAGCGGTCGAGGGGCCGAAGGACTCCAGTTTGTGTGAAACTGCGGGCGCCGTCTGTCCCGGCCCCCACTCTACCGCAGGAAGCGGATGCTCATCTTGTGGTCGATGTTGACCTTCTCCAGCGACTGCGGACGAGAACAGAGGACGGACACCGTCACCCCGGGTCACATCCGGGCGTCTCAGATGTCCCGCTGGCTTAAACACCCAGGGTGCTGCACAGCAGCATAAGGAGAGGCCGAACGATACAGATGAGCTTGACGGTTGTGGTTTACACCTTCAAAGGGAGGCTAGAGACACTGGCAGCAGTATAAACCCAGAAACGGAGACCCTTACAAATCACAGGTTTGTCTGACCTTTGACCTCCGCAGGGCAGGGAAGAGAGAGCAACTCAGGAAGCAAGGTGAGAGAACAGGACTGGCAGAGGTGGACATACAGTAGGGAAGGTGGTGGACAAAGAGACAGTGACAGGAAGCGTCAGTAGGGGAGCCCGGGGGACAGGGAGAGAGGGACATGAAGACATGGGCACCTTTCGGAACTCCTCGAACGAGATGGCACTGTCCCCGTCCAGGTCAGCCTCCTGGATGGTGCGGTCAGCGATGCTCTCCAGCTGCTCGTTGGTCACCTGCATCCCCACCATCATGCGCAGGACCTGGGGGGGAGGCGGCAAGGAGTGACCCCTGACCTCTAAGCCCAATCTGGACTTGACAGACTGCTTGTTGGTTTCAGCAGCTGTCAGGCAATGCCACCACAGTCAAAGTGCACAGGACAGAACCCTTTATTGAATCAGCTAGGACCACAGAAATCTACAGTCCAGTACTGACTGACTGAACGGGAGTTTATCTGGAAGGAGAAGGCACTGAGCAAATTTTGAAATGTGTGGAAAAAAGTTTTGAAAGTTTTCCTATGAATATGCAAACACAAGTGTGTCCCACCGTGAACACTGGACACCCCTGTCTATCATGTCTTGCCTTTCTCTTCTTCTCAACATTCCTGTCTGCATGCTAAACTGTTCAAGCGCTCAAAAGCCCCGACAAGACCCTCCTCAGCCCTGGGCTGTGAAAGCCTTACTGACTGTATCACCAAGCACCGGGTCCCACAAAGCAGGGCTCTCTTCAGACACGCGAGCCCAGCGGCCGTCCGCACCCACCTCCAGAAGCTCGCTCCTAGAGATCTTGCCATCTTTGTCCTGGTCATACAGCTGGAAGGCAACTGCAATGGCGACACAAGGGACAGATCAGCACGCAGACCAGGCACACACAAGCCCACCAGCGTTTACACTGGGAGGAATCTGAGCATTCGTCCTCAGCGATGGTGAAGAGCGCCACCTACTGGTCCACTCACACCACCTGCAGCAGCCACCTGGTTTTCCTTAGAGCTCTCCCACCCCAGCTTTGCTTAGCTGCTAAGACAGGAAGAGGCCCTGCTCTTGAATGCTCTTTTCAAACAGAAGGCAACTGAATCACCCTAAACCACCTGTTCACTAAAGATTAGAAACGCATTTCAGGGACCAATCAATGAAGCAAGTCATTTGTTCAGGTCAGGGAACTCTGGCCTTTGAGAATCCTTGAAGGGTCTTCAGATTGTTGTTTCAAACGATCTCTTAATCACTTACTCCGCATACTTACACTAATCACACCGATCACAGCTCAAATGATCCCAGTCTTTCAAAATGGTTCCCTACTACACCCGCGGGACTGCAAAACTCCAGGACAAAGACCGGGCCAACTCTCCGGCCACCGTGGTCAGGACGGTCCACCCCAGCCACAGCACTCTGCCAGCCAGCGGCCGTGGGACTCACACTTGAGCTTGCTGGTCCGGCTGTTGGCGGGTTCGGGGCTGCTGGGGTCCCTGGGCCGGGTCGTGTCCAGGGGCCGGAAGTGCGCCAGGACCCTCACGAAGGAGCGGAAGTTCACCTTCTCCTCCCTGGCGGCAAACACACAGAGTGACCGCGGGACTGGGCGCTGGGAGTGACCCCACCCAGCCGCCCCGCAGAGACGGGGATCCCCGCGGACAGGCGGGGCAAGGTTTGGGGTGGGGGGTCGGTTAACTGTCGAGCGATGGAACGAGCGATCGGGCCGCGAGGCTACGCTATCGAGAGACGCCCCCAGCCGACATGCAGAGAAGAGCCCGTCCAGCAGGCGGCGCGAGAGGGCGACCCTACCCGGGGGCGAAGAAGGCGCTGATGATCCGGTCGCCCAGCGGGTTCAGGTCCAGCTCGCGGATGTGCTGAAAATCACTCAGACTGCAAGAGACAGGAGACACAGTGACCCTCCCACACCCCCGGCCCAACCACCTCTTCACGCACACACAGCCCCTCTGTGAGTGACAGCCGGCCGACAGCTCTGCTCCCTCCCCTGCTTCCGCCCAGCTCGCCGAGCCCCACCCCGCGCCCCGCTGCGCCCCGCTGCTCCACCCCGCGCCCCGCTGCTCCACCCCGCGCCCCGCTGCGCCCCGCTGCTCCACGCTGCTCCACGCTGCCCTTAATGGAAATCTAGTGTAACACAGAAACAAGCCGCTCCCAGTAAACACCTGTAATGTTCTCCCCTTAAACTGTGAGCAATCCTTCTTTAGTGCCACAGCACATCTCGATGCGAGGCTGGCAGTGCCTGCGCGTGCGTGCGTGTGTGTATATTTGCCGAGTAATTGAACAGGATGACAGCCGACGTTTCGCCAACTTAAAAAATGTTAGGGCGACACTGGGGTGATAACAGACCCCCTAAACAAACACTTCAAGACGCAGACGGGTGGGCAGAAGTGATGACGTTTTAACTCCACACTGGCCCCTTGAACCACAGCACTCCGGCCGATGGCTTCCCTGCAGCTCCCTGGGAGACGACCCCAGAAACGCCCTCGCCCACCCCAGACGGGGACCTGCCGCGGACAGCGCTGAGGTTCAGATGCAGCAGGGGACCTGTCCTGTTGTCCACTCATAAAATGGCATTTCACAGCCGCTGCACTAAAAAGCGTGACCCCTCTTCATCCGTCTGTAGAGACCCGCCTCTCACTCTCGCCCGCGCCCGTACGGTGGTCTTAACGGAGGCCGTGTCCAGCGCCGCGACCCCGGCCCGGCTCACCTCAGGAAGCCCTTCTCCTCCCTGTCCAGCACGGAGAAGCGGTCGTACAGGCGGGACAGGTGCGAGGGGGAGACTGGGGGCGAGAGCACAAGCAGAGGAATCCCGTCAGGCGCCGACACGCAGGAGCGGACCAGGAAAACTCGGCCCAGACAGAGGCGCTGGGCGTGCCCCAGAGATCTCCACCGTCTGGGGCTATCCTGCCATCTCCGCCACCTGGACCGAACCCTTCCGTTGTTAATCTTTCCGCTGAAAACATCAGCGGTGTCCACGACCCCTTCAGGACAGCGAAGGTGTGAAATCGTGTCTTGCTGCCGCTGCGTGCACGGCACCAGGTGCGAGTCGGAACCGCGTCCCGGGTCGATCCGCCCAGACACACAGACACCGGCCGACTGCCGAGAGTCCCGGGCAGCGCTGAGCCTGCTGCCCTGGGCGGCTCTTCTGCAGAGACCCCGCGGTCTCTCCGTCCCAGCGGATCGAGGGGGCTCACGGAGCTGGGGGTGTCTCCGGGGCCTGAGGAGTTACTGTACGGAGTGCCCGCTGGGCGAGGAGACTCGACACTTGGACTCAGAGAGAACCCCGGCTCGACAGCACATGGGTCCACACCGAGTGACTGACGCCTGTCAGTGTGTTAATCCGAATTACACGAACAATAAGATGTCTGCCTGCGTACAGATGTTGATCTGTGTGTATTCTATACGTTTTGCACCCCAGTCCGGGCTGGTGTGTAACAGGACGCAATCGGAAGAGCCGGGAAGCCCGCTCCACGGAGACCGTCGGAGCTCCGGTCTTCGGGATAGCGGGACACTAACTACCGAACCGAGCGGCGAGTCGGATTCGTGTTGCTGACCGCCGGACCCCAGCGGCGCAGGGGGGGGTGATGTGTCACTCGTGTTCATGTTGTTTTCACCAAGCGCACCCCCACCCCAGCTCCCCAACTCCCCAGCCAGCCGGATCTGCCCCGACAGAGAACCACGCTCGGGGCTGGGACACGCTCTCCGACTGCCGCGTGTGATTCATCGAGAAATGCAAAGTTGCAAACAAAGCGTGTTGTTTAATTTTTCAACAAAACGCCACTTACAACCAGTCTCCTTCATGATTTCCTCAGCGTCGGGAATGTTGGACAGCACGGAGTAACTGGAGCCCATTTTAACTCCAGTCCGCTACACACGCCCAGTACTCCCTTTTGGGGCAAAGAGGTTTTTTTTCTTGGGTCAAATCTGCCGCTACAGAATCGGGTTATTTGTGGTCAGTTTGTTTCCTACAGGACCGAGCTCCTCATAGCGTTTAAAAATAACTCCCACACGGTCGGAGAAACTTTGGAGTCGAACACCGCTTATC